TGGCAACATATGTACAAATGTGCTTGATACAATTGATGTATGGATTGTTATAAGAGCTGTAAGAGCCCCCAATACAATGATCTAAAATGATAATAATAATAAATTTTAAAATGTATGCGTTAAGTCACAGTAAAGGAAATATGTACCTATGGGGGAAAAAAGATGGAAGGAATACAATAACTGTGCCAAAATCAGTAATTAACATTCAATTATTGTAAGAGGTAACATGATCACAAAACATTGAAGGAAGAAGTCCAAGCTACAATGAAGACATAAGGTAAAAACAAGACTCCAGGAATTTAAATGTTTTCAACAAGCTGACATGGCACCAGAAGCACTCTCTAGACTATGACAAAAATTTTGAAACACATCTTAATAAACGAGATCCATAATTATGCTCATTGGGGAAAAAAAGTGACCCAATAGAATGCAGGAATTATTGAGCAATATCATTCATAGGACATATGAGTATATTTTGCTAAAGACAATTTGAAAATGGTTGTAGACCAAGCCCAGGGACAAGGGAACAACAAGAGATCTAAAATCAATGGCATGTTGAGGAGGGTGTAGAACCCCTGGTGGGGTTTAACCAAGTGCAAAGTAGCCGAGAGGAGTTACTGAGAGCTGAATGAAGGTTGAACATGATAGTGGGACAAGAGGAAAGTAAAAGGAAGTGGAGGAAAGAACTAGGAGACAAAAGACATTTATAGAGGTATAAATATAGGCATGTATATATGTAAAAACATTAATATATGATAATAAGGATATAGGTCTATGTAAATATATTTATATCTTAAGTATCAAGTGAAGGAGCCATGAGAGGAGCACTGTGTCTCGTGTCATGTATCTGTCTAGGACAGTGCGCACCATGGCTGTCCTAGCTGGTTCTCATACACTGTTTCCTTACTGCAAACGGTTTAAGGAATTCGAGGGGCAGCTGCAAACAGTGTTTCCCTGGTAGAAAGTGAACAGGACCGGTAAGGGCTGAGATACGGAACTCACTCTCAAGGCTATGAGAAATTCAAGCGTAGGAATAGCAAACTTATCTGGGAACACTGCCAGTATTTAGTACATAACAATAACACGCTGCTGGCCGTCAAAGCTGCATGTTTGTACCGTCTCTGTCTGTGTCTGTTTTGTGCTGCAGTCCTGTATTGTCTCTGTGTGTGTGTGTGTGTGTGTGTCTCTCTGGTTCTTTGTTCCTTCTCCCTGCTCAAGAAACTGCGTCATCAATCAAGGTAGCAGATGGACATCGGGTCTACGCAAGTACTCCCTCAACACAAGAACACTGTGTTCCAGTAACCTGGCATTCTGTGAAGCTCACTTTCCTGACACAATCACTGAATACAAAATGGGTGTATAAGCAAATGTGGTGAAGAAAGCTGATGGTACCCAGCTATTACAAGATATAGCACCTGGGGTCTGAAAGGCTTGAAGTTAAATAAGTGGCCATCCAGCTGGGAAGCAATAAAACCCAGATGGAAGAAACACACCAGCCTGTGTGATCTTGAGGGGTCGATGGGATTAGGTATCAGACATCAGAAGACCCAAAACAAACAATCATATTGATATGAACAAGGGAGGTTGGAGTGGAGACCCAAAGCCCATCTGTAGACAATTGGACATCCCCTCACAGAAGCACCACAAGGAAGGGAAGACAGCCAGGGTGCAGTATAGCACCTACAAAACACACAACATTCCTCAAGTTTTTTAATGCTTCTTCCCTATCATGACCCCAGTTTTTACCTTGCAAATACAGCTAGACTGGAGCATGTACACTGGTACAGATAAGAGCTCTTGACATATGGAATCTAGGACAGATTGACCCTTCAGGAACAACACTGGGAATACTGATACCATGAGGGTAGGGGGAAGGTGGGAAGATAAAGGGGAGAAAGGGGGAGCCAATCTCAATGACTGATGTATATTCCCTCCCCAGGGGGACAAACAACAGAAATATGGGTGAAGGGAGACAGCCATCAGTATAAGATATAAAAATAATAATAATTTATAATTTATCAAGGGGTCACAAGGGTGGGAGAGGGAGGAGAAAAGAGGAGCTGATACCAAGGTCTCAAGTAGAAAGAAAATGTTTGCAAAATGATGATGGCAACATATGTACAAATGTGCTTGCTACAATGGATATGTAGATTGTTATAAGACCTGTACAAGCCTCCAATAAAATGATTTATAAATATTTTTAAATGGTTGTAGAGGTACATCAAGGTAGATTCAGAAGAGGACAGGTAATGAAGGATACCATGGCTGATATCAGATGGATCTTGGCTGGAAGCAAAGAATATCAGAAAGATGCTATTTATGCCTTATTAACTAGTCAAATGCATTTGATCGTGTGCATCATGACCAGAGCATGTACACTGGTACGGATAAGAGCTCTTGACACGCGGCATCCAGGACAGATAAACCCTCTAGGAACAGTAATGGGAGTAGTGATACCATGAGGGTAGGGGAAAGGTGGGGGGAGAAAAGGGGAATAGATCACAATAATTGATATATAATACCCTTCCTGCAAGGGGGACAAACAACAGAAACATGGGTGAAGGAAACAAAGGATAGTGTAAGATATGAAAATAATACTAGTTTATAATTTATCAAGGGTTCATGAGGGTGAGAGGGTAGGTGGGGAGAGGAGCTGATACCAATGGCTCATGTAGAAAGAAAACGTTTTGAAAATGATGATGGCAACATATGTATAAATGTGCTTGATACGATTGATGTGTGGATTGTTATAAGAGCTGTAAGAACCCTTAATATAATTATCTTTTTAAAAAAAGAAAAAGAAACAATAGTTTCATATTTTGATATTTTTGCTTAGTAAAAGGCTTTTATCATGTTGTAGAAAAATAAATAAACTGCATTTAGTGCTGCGTTTAAAAAAATCTTTTTACACATGTGTTAAGTCTCTGTGAAAACTTTTCTGTAAATGTAAACTTCATATTACCCTGTCGGTTTTTGCCTTATTAAAACCGTAGATTTTTAAAAAAGCAAACAAAGGACCCTCCACCTCCCCCCAAAAATTACTAGTGTGCAGGAGGAGAGTGAGGGGGAGGGAGTGGGGATGGTTAGATTCTTTCAGTTGTGCTTATTTGTTATCTTTTTCCCCAGTTCATTTGTTTTTATGAGAAATTGAATTCTGTGCTCCAAGACTCCTAGTGGTATGAGTTTAGCTCACAGAAGTTTATTTTGCCAAAAATGTAGACAAAGTGGTGAGGACTTGCACTAAAACCATAGGGCAGAACCTCCATTCAGTAATGGCCCTCCGAAGGCCGTTTGCAGTGGAGTGGGGAGAAGGTTTCCCCTGAGATACAGGAATGCAGCCAGGAGGGACTCAGACCTGCCTCTACTTTCCCAGGGTGCCAGGGCAGGGCGTGAGGGACCAGAGTCTGAGGGATTTAATAGGTGTGGTGCTGAAATAATTGCTGAGCAAATGATACAACCTCTAGGATTTATTTCAGAAGAAAGAAGGTTCCTCCCACCACAGGTGCAGGTGTCTGTTGCACCAGCCTCCCCATCCTCTTGCGCAGTAGGAAATTTCCAAAGCAAAAGGCTCCCATTGAGAGTGTAAACTGAGGAACAGAGTGGCCATCTCCAGCAGGGAAACGTGCCCACAGTAGAGAAAGGAAGTCGGGAGGGGCTGTCCAAAGGCCCTCAGCCTCCCTGAACCTTCCTCCTTACACAAAAAAAGGGGCTACTACCCTCAGAGGGGGACAATGAGTTGTCACTATTCTGCCATTAAACTAAAAAAAACTCTGCCATCGAGTTGATACTGACTCGTAGTGACTCTATAGAACCGTGTAGAACTGCCCCTGTGGGCCTCGGAGACTGTAACTCCTTACGGGAGTAGAAAGCCTTGTCTTTCCGTGGGTGGCTGGTGGTTGTGAACTGCTGTCCATGTGATTGGCAGGCCATTACGTTACCACTCGGTCCCCAGTCATAAGCAGGATGAAAGTGCTGCGGTGGTGTCAAACCTACTGACAGCAGCCTGCAGGCCAGAGCAGAGCTGCCCCGCAAGCTGACTGACACGCCTTGCTCCCGCAGAGGGGCTGGTGGGTTTGAACACAAGCCCTGTTAGTTAGCTTCCAGAGCTTAACCCACAGCGCAACCAGAGCCCCTTCAAAAGGATAGCAGTTACCAAGAATGGTCCATCAGGACAGAATAAGAGTCCACATCCCTGTTCCAGGCACCACAACCTGCCCACGTAGCCTGTAGCCCCTACTCAAGAGCCCCCAGCCCGGACCCCCTCTCCCCAGTTGCAGGGGGCTGGGACTAGCCACAAGGCCCTATCACGCTTGATCTCCATTTAATCAATCTCCTCCTCCCCGCGACCCTTCAACCGGAAACCTCCGTCCTAGTCCTGGAGTACAACTGGCTCTCCCTGCACTGAAAGCTCAAGTTGCACAATGAACAAACTCTCAGGGCTCGGCAGCGTTGTTACGAGAACTAGCGCCGCTTGCGGGCACTCAGGGGAACATCTGGGATTCCGGCGTCCAGCAGTCCTGGCCTGGGGGGGGCACTCCGCATTTTGCAGCCAAAGCTCCTGCTGGGCTTTAGACTTAAGGATCTCCGGGCAAGTGACAGCAAAGAGAGTCCTCAACCCTGCTCATGAAATCAAACCAAACCAAACTGCCAGCGAGTCCACGTCGACTCACAGTGACTGCAGGACAGGGCAGCCCTGCCCTGGCCAGTTCCCGAGACTGGAAGTGTTTCCCGGGAGGAGAGAGCCCTGTTCCCGAAAGGCGAGGGAAGGGACGAGGTCTAGGCAGGCGCTGCGCTACTGAAATGTCAAAGGGCTAGCAAGAAGTCTTGGGGCTGCCGGCGGGATCTCGGGGAGCAGGGTCCCCTGACCTTCGACCCCCATGTGCCCCTGGCGAGGTGGTGCTGCTCACGCCTGGACACCAGGCTCCTTCCACGTCGGTTCCAGAAAGCGCGGCGCCCTGGTGGCCCCTGCGCAGGTGCCCGCCGCCCAGGCGCCCACTCACCTGCCAGCCGGCCGAATTCGCGCTCCCGCAGCTCGCGCACGCTGAGCGGCCCGTCGTCCCCGTAACCGTAGGCGAGGCGCGGCGAGCTCGAGTCCCGGAACGACTCGAAGGCCAGCAGCTCGGCCCCCGCCGGCGCCGTCCCGCTGGCCATGGTCCAGGCACTCCCGACCGAGCGACCGCCGCGCTGTCCGGGTCGCCGGGGCCGCGGGAAGTAGAGGCCGGTCCCTCCGGGACTCCTCCCGCTGACCGCACCTTCCCTGTGACCGCGCCTCCCCGCGGACAGCGTCACCCCGCCGCCCGCCTCCCCGCTGACCGCGCCGACTCACGAGGTTGCTCCACTTTCCCGCCCTCTCCCCACCTGCGGGTGGCGGCGGCCCGCGGGCGCTTTCGGGTCCTGCGACTTTGCGGCGGAGCCCGCGGCAATGCCGGAGACCCTGGGACCAAGGGTCCCTCGCCCAGCGGACCGGCCGCTTGCTTCCTCCTGCTAGGCCTCCCGGAAGGCGGCGGTTCTCCACGCCGACTGGCTCCGCGGAGCCCGGGACCCCTGGCCGCGGCTGGGACCGGAGGTTTCTGGGAGCCAGCTGGGAGCAGAGCCGAGGAGGAAGCGGACGGGGAAGCAGGACGTTGTGCAATTCGCCTTTAGCGCCCGCGCCCGAGCACCGGGCGTTGCAGCGAGTGGGACTGGTGCGGCGTGCGATGCAGGGTGCAGGGTGGACGCAGTCTGGGGATGGGGGCCAGGTACAAGGGGGGTGTATATAGAGTGGGGGTACGGCGATACATGCTAGGGCCCCAGGTGACTGGGCTCAGCTGCAGGCCAGGTGGGGGACCCAAAGTGGGGACCTAGGCAGGGCGCTGGCCTTCGGAGCCGACAGCAGTGGGACAAGGTGGGATGGATGCTTAGGGCCGCGTCGCCCACCGTGTGGTGTAGACCGTGGACACCTTGGGGTGAGTGTTGAGGGTGTAGATGCCTGCTCCTGGCTCTGCCTATTCATAGGGCGCCCCTGGGCTCCTTTGGCCCTGTAGCACGAGCTTCAGAGACTTTGGAGCACCCACCTAGTGCAGCCCTGCCACTCCCACCCCAGACCTGAGAAACGCCTTCCTGAGGCCTGATTTCCTCAGCGCCAGACGGAGAGCCAGTGCCCAGGACAGCCCCATGCCGCGTGGTCTGTGCCCACAGATCGTCTCGCTCACCGCGGAACCCCAAGACCTTACTTGGCCTGCAGTATACTTGTGGGCTATGAGCGGATGGTCTGAATGTTGGCGTTTGCTCATTGGCATCACCGTCCACCCAGATCTACACACCTTCTGACCATACTGCCATTGGTAACCTTGGACATGCAAACCCCTTTCCACTGCACACCCTCCTGTAGATGGGGCTTTGGGTGACCACAAGAACACCCTGTGCCTGGCTGGCCTGGGCCCATGACCTGTACCAGTCATCCAGTAATTAAAAAGTCACATCTGTGGGGTGGCTATCCCCAAGGGGAGCCAGAGACTCAAAAAGACAGAATTAGATTTAGCACCAGGGGCATCAGTCTCCAGAGCCCGGTGAGTGAAGTGTACCCCAGGGCAAGCCCTGGGGTGCCGGGGGCCTCTATTTCTAAGTCCCCAAATTGGAAGGGTGGGGGTGCCCCTTCCAGCAATCATAGTGTAGGTGATTTTCACCTCTTAACATTTCCTGTGTGCCCATGAAGGATCTATTCTTCGATTTTAATAGCAACTCTACTGTAGCCATAAGATTTGAGGCTGTAAATCTTTTCAGGAACAGATAACCTTATCTTTCTTCCACAGAGCAGCTGCTGGCTTATAGTTGAGCTTTAAACCTCCTGATAAAACCCCTCAGGAACCAATTAAAATGTAAAATCTGGTTCATTACCGGTGGGAGGGGGCCGAGATTCTGTATTTCTAAAAATCCCAGCTGCTACTGAGGCCTCAGCCCATGCTGTGCACTCTGAGGGAGGCATCGGCCATTTCTGGGAATGTAGGCGGTAACTTCCCCATCAAGGTATACAACTGTACTGAAGAAAAAAAACGGAAAAAGCTCTGCTGGGTGGACCTTTTGTAGTATGCATTTTTCCCACTAGGCAAGCATAGAACAACTCGCTCTGAGTTAGTGGATCCAGTGGAGTCACTTGGGTAGGTTCTCTTTCGTAAATGCAATTTCTCCAGAACCTTGTTTTTTCGTGATGGCCAATTTAAGAGAACAGCGTGCAGCTGTGAAATGTTTCCTGATCAGGAAAAATGCTGCAGAAACTGCCGTAGTGATGTTGAATATAGCTTACAGACAGTGCTATGGAAAAAAACTCGTGTACCAAGTGGTTTTCTTGTTTCAAAAAGGTGAACGACAAACTACATTTTGGACATATGTCAAACTTCCCGGAGGGATGAAAATGTTGGTTCATAGTGCATTTGGAGTTCATTCACCAGGTCAGACTGTAATCAAGCTTTCAATTTAGAGGTTCTGAAAAGATTGCATAACAATGTGTGACAAAAAGGCCTGATCTGTGGCAGATGGGGGGCTAGTTTTGCCACTATAACAATGTACCTGCTCAGTCATCTCAGTGTGCGTTTTGGGCAAAAAACAGCATGTCTCTTGCCCCACACACCTTACTCACCTGATCTCTCTCCATGCAACTTCTGTTTCTGCAAATGCAGAGGAACATGAAAGAGTGATTTGACAACATAAAAGAGGTGAAGGAAAAAATGAGGGAGGTGCTGTCAGCCATCCAAACAGATGAGTTTGAAAAATGTTTCCAAGAATGGAATTGCAAATTTGACAAATATATTACATGTAATGGAGAGTACTTTGAAGGTAATAAGGTTGTTTTGTTAAAAAAAAAAAAAAAGTTAAATACATAGCTTTGGGGAAAATTTTTTAATTCCCGTTTTTTGGGGGATACCCCCCCTCATTCAGCAGCAGTCACAAATCACCAATTCACGGGGTTCTACTTGAACGCACGCTTGCCCTCATGAATGGGAAACTTAGAGAAATCACTGAACTACCATCAGTCAGGAAGCACTATGAAGCTCCAGGCACTGTGCACTCAGGAAGGTGTGGAGACACTGTCCAGACAGCTGCAGGGAAACCACACCTCATTCAAAGTGAGCCTTTGAGAAGCAGGAGGGATCTCATTACCAGCAAGACTCAGGAGTGGAGTGCATCCTCTGGATCCTCACTGCTACACAGTGAACCTCCGGGATCCAGAAGGCAGCTATACCATCCAAAGAGCAGCAGCAGAACCAGGAGCCAGAGCATGGAGCAGAGTGAGGACTTGCCAACCCACGGAGAAAGTTGAGCGCTTCTGTGCAGGTGGCTGGCTTGTGGAGTGGGGGGTGTGCGGTCACTTAATTGGGGGAAGATGGACTTGCTGACCTATGGAACTTAAACTTAATGCCTTCAGTTGAGGCTTAAAGCTGAGTGGTATCCTTGGACATTACTGGCTAACTTGACAGAACATGTCCTAAAAACACTACTGTGAGCATTTCTGGCCTGACAACTTGTTAACTTCCTTAATAAACTCTTTAATAATGAATGTTTTCCTGTGACTTCTTTGTAGTGATTGCAGTAGCTGTTAGCACCCACAAAAGTAAAATAGAGAACACTACTTAAGACTTTACACCAAGGGTAGCCTTAGGTGTGCTTTCAGGTAGCCTTGGTGGGATGAGTTCTGTGCTGGAAAGGGATCTAAAGGACTACATCCAGTGCATCTGGGCTGGGAAACAGTCTGTCTACTGGGGCAGTCATTAAAAATCCAGGCCACTGAGTCCTTCCTGCACTAGGATCAGAATAAATCCCAGCATGCCCCGGGAGATGAAGACCCAGGAATGTACTTCAAGACACCTTGGTCTCTGAGCATGGGAGGCTCAGTCTTAATGTGTACAAACCCTGTCACACACACACCTGGCTGAGGGGACGAAGACCATTTATCTACATTCAACAATGAAGCTGTCCACTGTCCAAATGTGGGCAGCCACTTTTCTCACAGCTACTAAGCACAACTGAAATGTGAACATGTAAAATAGCTGACATTTTACCAAGATCTTTATATCATAAAAAGTATAAACATCTCAATATTTTTCATGCTGATTGTACACCACAATGATCGGTAACATTTTTGGATATGTGTTAAAGGAAATGTTGAAAGAAACTTCACCCGTTTCTTTGACTTTTCTTATGTGACCATTAAGACACTGTAACATTACCTACCAAGCTCAGAAATACTGGTGAGATGTTGGTCTAGAACCCATCACTTAAAGCAATGCAAACATTACTTAACTCTTTGGAAAGCAAAATTCCATGTTAGAGAAAGGCATAAACTCCCACCAGGAAAATCTCTACCCCCATCTTGCAGTGTCTTTATTCTGTAGTATACATTCCAGTGTCAATTTGCTAGATGTCCCCACGTTCCAACAGGCTGGGGAATCAGCATTGACTCTCATTCACTTACCTCTCACCTAAGCACCTGATTCTCAAGCTGCCTAACCCCAACACTATTACAGCCCCTCCGTCTCCTCCCTGCCCACACACATTCTCTTGGGGAACGTTGTTCACTCCTCGCACTTCAGCTATCACTTCATTTCAGATGATTCAGAACTCCATTTTCTTGGCACCTATTTAATGCCAGAAGAGAGATGGGCTTTCTACTGGGACACTCACAAGGGCAATTCTATCCTGTCCTACATGTTGCTATGAGGGGGTATCGACTCAATGACACAGACTTTGGGTTTGTATTTCAATACTCTCTATATCAAGCCCTGATAGAAGAGTCTATGTACGGTAAAAAAAATTTATGCACCAGTTCGTGTCTCGTTTATTAAAATGTCCAACCAGGGTGTCGTCAGTGAATCAAGGACGTGAGCCCTGGAAGCTCGGCCAGCATCTCTTCCAAGCCCCAACCTGTCTCATCAATTTGATTACCGAAGGCAGGACAGGATCCCAGCCCTGGGAGAAGTGCTTTCAGATGACGTGGCACAGAGGCCGTGACAGGAAGGAGAGAACCGTGCTCTGTCTGAACCGTGGCTGCTGTGGATTTTGCTGACACAAAAGAATGCGTCATCTATCTGGGGTTGGACAGATCCTAGGAACTTGATCCTGTTCTTTCCGGTATTACCTGTATGAGCACCTGACAACTTAGGAAACTAGATATATCAAGTTAGTGACAAGCTGATAGCTTTCACATATATTTCCCTGTCTTATCCAAGTGCCTGTTTGTTTTTTTGTAAGATGGACTCCAATTAAAAGAAAAGCAACACACCAAGCCCTGAGGATGACCTCCCTGCACAGAGCTGCTAAGGCACAGTGAAACTGTAGGGCCAACAACAGCTCAAGACATGATGCTCCCTTGCTGGAGCATACCAAGAGAGATGACAACACTGTGTACCCACGGTGGGGAGTGAGTCCAGTCTGAACCCCTCCACAGTGGGGCAAACCAAGAAGGGAAGGTTACAGATCATCAATGGGAGCAAAGACAAGCCACCAAGCCCCTAAGGAGCCTCCAAAATAAACTTCAGGCTAGGAGGGGGAGTTCCCTGAACACCCCAGGACCACTGGGGAGATAATCATGAAGGTCAGCAGACAAACCTGGAATTATATATACTTTTGGGGGTATCTTTTTCTTGGATCTTTTGCTTTCTTTTTGTTTTGTCTGCTATTATTGTTTTGCCTACCTGTAAAATAGGCATGGGAAGCAGGCCTGAGGAGAAAGGTGAGGGGGGGGGACAGATGGAGGGAGCGGTCAGCAAACAACACTACAGACAGGGAACAAGTAGGGAATTAAAAACAACAAGGAGGAGGACGAAGAGATCCCAGTGCTGTTGGAGCAACAGCAGTCTAGCTGGGAGGAATTACTAAGAGGCAGAAGAAGGGCGAGCGTGATGATGGGGCAGGAGGAAGGTAAAAAGAAACAGAGGACAGATCTAGGAAGCAAAGCTATAGATAGAGGTATAAGCACAGGTATGTACATAAATATACTTATTCATGAAAACAGACATATAAACCTATGTACATAGAGGAAGTGGACTGACTTTGGGCCTCTGCTCAAGCCCCCCCTCAACGCAGTAACACTGTTCTAACCTGGCATTCTGTAATGCTCACCCTCCAGACACAATCTCTGAAGAAAAAAATGTGTGCACAGTTAATGTGGGGAAGAAAGCTGACGGTGTCCGGCTATCAAAAGATGTAGTGTCTGTGGTCTTAAAGGCTTGAAGTTAAACAGGCAGCCATCTAGCAGAGAAGCAACAAGCCCACATGGAAAAAGCACGGCAGCCTGTAACCAGTTAACAGGCATCAAAAGACTCAAATAGAAAAAAACATTGTTGAGAACATGTGGGGATCGGAGCAGAGACCCCAAATCCCTTTGTAGACAATAGGACATGCTCTCACAGAAGGGTCACAAGAAGGGATGAGTCAACTAGTTGGCAGTATAGCACCAATGAAACACCGATGGAACAATATTCCTCTGGTTCTTTGAGGCTTCCTCACCGCCTCCCCACCCCCTGACATCATGACCCCAGTCCTACCTTTCAGTTCTGGCTAGACCTGAGCATGTACACAGTTACGGATAAAGAGCTCAAGACACACGGAATCCAGGTCAGATAAACCTCTCAGGAACCGTATGTGGGAATAGTGGTAACAGGAGGGTAGGGGGCGGTAGGGAGAGAAGGGGAGGAAGGGGGAACCAACTGCAATGATAGATGCGTAACACCTCCTTCAACCCCCCACCCCCTCACACACAGGGAAACGAACAACAGAAATGTGGGTGAAGAGACACAGCAGTTGGTGTAAGTCATGAAAACAAAAAAATTTATAATTTATCAAGGGGTCGTGGGAGGGAGGAAAAAAAGAGGAGCTGATACCAAGGGCTTCAAATAGAAAGTGAGTGTTTAGAAAATGATGATGGCAACATATGTACAAATACGCTTGATACAACTGATGTGCATTGTTGTAAGAGCTGCAAGAGCCCCAATAAAATGGTATTAAATAATAAAAGTAAAGCAAAGGACTTGCTGACGTTCACACACAATTGTCTGCCAAATTCCTGGTAGAGCTGGTGTGCCCTGGGAAGAAGTCAAGCCTCAGCACACTCTGAAGGAAATTGATTGACAAAAGCTGTCACTGTAAAAACCTAGCACTCCAGATTTCCTCTTGTTTTATTGTCTACGCTCCTCCCCTGAAGAGGGTAATAAATGTCCCAAGTCCCAGAAAGGGGTGCGTGAAAAGAAAAGACCCAAAATAACATAATCAGCAAAGTTCAGTAACGAATACAGGAAACACAAGGGCTCCTATGCTGGGACCCACAGAGGCAGGTGTGCAGGTCCATGAGCCCTGAAAGTAGGGGTGAGTACATAGCACAATCCTGAGGAAAGGGGCCCAGCCATCACCAGGTCTCAAAGGACCTATGAGGACTACTGCTCCACTGATTGAAAACCAAAACTCAAATGATTAAGGTAAAGAGAGGTTATGTATTTACACGATATATGATTTAGAGACTCCACTGATTGGTTTACTTAAAAGACTTGTAGTGAGTAAGTCCGTCATAGGGCACATCTGTTGACCCGATGTATCTTCACTGTGTGATCTTCGCTGCAACTTGCGAAGTCTAGCCATTTGGCACTGTCGGCTTCATCTTCATCCTGTTTGGTTTTTCCATCGCAATTCTTCCAGCAGAGTCTTGTGACAGCGAGTGTATGACTTTGGCTGAAAGGAAGGGAGAGCAGCATGAAGTGGCTGCCCATTGAGACTATCAAGCATTCCACTAGGTGTCAGCTTCATCAGAATGTCCTGCCTGCTAACACAAATGGAAGTCAAATCTGAAAATACCAATGCTCAGGATTCCAGGATTTAAATACTATCATTCATGTTTGAGCAATTGTATTTTAACCTTGAAAATGCCTTGTTTTACTTAAACTGTCCAATTAAGTAACTTATTTATTGGCTAATGATAGTACCGAAAAAGGGCAAAGAATCTCTGTCAGCTTTTATTTTAATAATCAATGCTCATAAAATTGTTATTAGCGGTCTTTCAGATAATACTAAATATGTGTACTTTAAAGAATTCAGCTTCACAGCCTATTTGCTACCATTTGGTTCTGACTTCTGTGAGAGGGCTTCAAGCAGCTCTGGTGGTGTAGCGGGTCATGAATGGGCCCTTAACCACAAGGGCAGCAGTTAGAAACCAGTAGCAGCTCCTGCTTGAAAGAGACAGGGCTTCCAACTGCAGTGAACACTGCGTCTCAGAAGCCCACGGGGCAGGGGCAGCGCGGACTTGCTCCACAGCGTTGCCCTCCCGTACAATCAACTCCGTGGCAGTAATTAAGCAAAAGTGAGTGCATGGGTTGGAACTTACGTTTTTCTTGTTGGGTAAAGTGAAAGGTTCAATGAAATGCCCAGAGGCACATGGTAAAAGATGCCTGGTTTCTAATGTGACCTTTAACTGCATGGCCTTGGGCAAGACACTCTTAGCTCTGTCCTACTCCGAACACACCCAAAGAGCAGTCACAATGCTGCCACACAGAAGTAAATAAATTAATAATCCCTGTGACAATCCAGCCTTTATACATATCTTGCAAATTAGCAAAAAAAAAAAAAAAACCCTCCTCCTGCCAAAAAGAAAAAGAGAAAAGGAATAAAGTGAAGAACTGTAGTGGGGTTTCTGCCAGCAAACACTGAAAACACCACCAGGGTTTCTGCCAGCAAACACTGAAAAAACACCAGGGCACACACATTTTATTTTCATGTGCTGAGAATCCCCATCACCCGATGCATTCTAAGACAGGAAGACATGAATCCAGGATAAACCTAAAATAACTATAAGACTGATTTTCTTTTGTCAATCTTTGATAAAACAATATTTCACATATTATAGTAATAATAAATATGCTAGTTTTAAGTATATTTCCTAAAGCTTCAAAAGTATTTAGTGGGCAATATTAAAAGTTGTCTTATTTCAAAAAAGGAATGATTTGAGTGGTGCCATCCCTGCAACAAGTATAGTCTATTGTCTCCCAGAGAGTTACTCCAAGGGACTTTTTTTTTTTGCCATGAATGTTAAAATGCCACATGCATTTGGTTTTGGTTTTGGTAACATGTCCTACTTAGAATACAGGAATGTGAGGAATCAATCTACAAGCCAGTATTTGCTTATATTCCTTTTTATCTATTAGCAAAACAACAACAAAAACTAATTTTAGTTTGAAACATATTTAACAACAGGCAGGCCTATGAGGCCAACATGAGCACTGGTGAGCCAAGTGCCCCAACAATTAATGACCGATAGCCAGCATTGGGGCAGCATTTAACCCCGAAACAAAGCTCAGGAGGCAGGGAGGGGCTGGAAAGAATGACAGATGGCTGTGGGCAAAGTCCAGGGAGGGAGCAGGAAGACTATGTTAACAATCAAAAAACTGCAACTGATGTTACAAAACAACAATGTATAAACTGTTGAAATGAAAAACTAATGTGCTTGTTCTAAATCACAATAAAAATGAAAAATATACACTTAAAATTTGATAAGCGGAATATTAGCAATCCAAACAACATAATGTGGCAAATCAAACATTATTCCCCAAGAAAGCAGGAGACTGCAATGATTGTGTTAAAACACAATGGGTCCAGGAACTGACCATAATGATTGACTTATCATTACGGTCCCCCCACCTGCACCCCCACCCCAGAGGGGGACGAATAACAGAAATGTGGGTGAAGGGAGACAGCACAGGCGGCATGGGGTTTCCTTGGGCCAACAGTTTGCTCTTTAGAGCATCTGAACTGATGTGATGAGTCGATTCAAGGATGTGGTGGCAACACACTATCAATCAATTCAAAGAACCCTCAACATTCTAAATCTTCTGTTGATAAATTCCGAAAAAGGGGGAGTTAAAGCATGGCTTTATGGGCTGAAGGGAAAGACTGCACAATGTGACTGCCATCAGTGCCACTGTAATGCCATCGACATCACCGACCTGGTGTCCTCCTTGTCGGGGAAAAGAAAGTGTGAAATACTCATATTAGACATCACTTTCTAGAGGCAGCCACAGAAGAGAAATCGTGGAGTCATGAGAACAGTGTGGCATGAAAGTGACGTTTGTGGCATGAAAGTGACGTTAGAGACAGAACAAATTCAATCCACTCTGATGGAAAGAAAAACAGAAAGACAATACCTTTTACTTGTTTCTACACAGAAGGTCCAGTCGTTGATTTCTGGAAAAGTCTTCTTCCAGCTGTACAAACATATCTTCCCACGCTCTAATCCCACGGCAACAATGTATCTGTTTTGATGGGGAAGAAAGCAGAGAGCAATTAATTCAGCCTGAAATTTCTGTTGACTCCATCAACCCTCTCAGTAGCCCCAGCTGCCCTGCCTCACAGGAACTGGGAAGGCTTACCAGCCAGCACAGGCTCCGGTGTAGGCCAAGTCTGTGTTCTACCGGTGCACACAAGCTCTGCCCTGACTCCCGCCAGCGAAGCCCACCAGCAGGCTTTCTGCGGCTAATTCTCCCAGACACGGCAGAGACAACACTACAACCGTGCACTCGGTTACTATAAAAAATTGAGTCACACTCCCACTCCATCACTACTCTGAATCACGTTGTTCTATTTAAATTTCTAACGAGAAGCATACACATTACGAAAAAGTGTCAGAAGCTAAGAGGTGCCTAAAGGATGAGACACCAAGTGGTTCTCTAAAATAAAGCATGCAACCACGGTCGCTGCCCCAGAAACTCACCGCTGAGAAAGGTTGAGCACCGGGCAGACGCTGACGGCTGTCACGGAGCCACCCACATCCAAGACGGAGGAGCAGGGGCCAATGTGGGGAGCTGTGGAGCCTCTGCTGGAGTCACACGTGCCCCAGGCAACCACCTGAACAGAAAGGCCACACTCGGTAAAGCTTCCTTGGGGTGGGTTTCTAGCAATACACTAGAGAGGGCCTACACCATGCAGCATGGCTGTTAGGGAATTTTTTAAACACAGCTTGACATGGTGTATGATGTCCAGGGGCTTCCGAGTATTTCGAGCATCTCAGCAAGGCCGCAGTACAGAACACACACACCAGTGAGCCCGGCACTGCCTGCCCAAGTAGCTGAGGAATCACGGACTGTCCTTGCCTAGCCATCATGAAACCCAGTCCATCGGTGGCGTCCTCACCGAGGAACTGCCCAAGAAGCTGCCGCAGAATGTGTGGGCACCAGTCAAGTCCCTGGCTGGGTAGTTATTCTGATGATGTTCCAAGGGGGTGTGGTGGATCACAAAGAAATGGAGAGGGAAGGAACACAGACGACAGAGACAAGGGCAGGCCCAAAGCAAGATTGCAAACCGTCGTTTTTGTCCAAGCAGTCTGAAGCGCCCTTCTCGGAATGGGCAGAGTGCTGCTCTAGCCACTGCAACCCCAGCTCACCGCCCCGGGGTTGGCTCGATGGCTTCCGCGGGGCGACTCTGGAGGGCAGAAGCAGTGCTGCTCCCTCTGCACCTTGCACAGAGCAGGTACAGACACTTGGAGGTGGAAAGCCAGGGGCAGACAACAGCAGGACAGTGTGACACCAAGATGTCATCTAAGGATTTGCCCTGGGTAAGACCAGCCCCAGCGCCACCCTGCGCCTGGCACTTCTGTCACTTGTACCTTCTTTGAATGGAGAAGGCAAAGAGTGGAAAGGAAACGCCTAACTGCTTCCCAACCTCTGGTCTAGAGGAAAGGACACGGTGA